CTGTCAAGATCGTTTTGAATCCTGCTCCTGTCCTCTGGAATATTGGCTATCCCTCCCAATTTGGTGTCATGGTGAGTCTATCATGGAGCTTTCTTGCAAGAAGTGTTGACAGGAGGTTTGCATTTGCCTTCTTCTGAGGCTGAGAGAGTGGGCCTTGCCAAGAGCATCTATTAGTTTCCCATGGCTCAGCCTTAGTCCCCAGAGTCATAGTCCAACGTTCAATCTGAAGCAATACCTGAGAAAAATACCTGGCATGACCTTATTTGCTGGCTTGGGGATGCTGGGAGCTGTAATCCAAATGGGTTTCTAAGAAAGAAAATAGTGGTGGAAACCACTGTTGTGAGTGCTCTTTGTGGAACACATTTGGGGTGACTCATTTTCCTCTTGGTTTACTTCTCTTTTCAATTGGCAAAAGCATGAGGAGAAATCCAGCCGCAACTCCTCGGTGGAGCAGCGGGTGCAGGACCTGGAACAGCGGGCCCATGAGGCGGCTGCTGTGCAGCACATGCAAGCCACACTGCTCTATGACATGCAAGCCCAGGTGCACAACATCTCTGTCCTGATGGAGTGGGTGCGCCACAACCCTGGGTGCCTGGTCCCCGTCGACATGCGCCTCCAGCAGGAGATGATGCACTACCCAGGTGAGGAAGCCCTGGGGGCATTCTTCCTTCCTTCCTTTCTCCCTCACTCCCTCCTTCCCTTCTCCATGTCTTCCTCTCTGGTTCCACCCCTGTCTCCATTCCCTCCTTCTTCCTATCATTTTCTTCTTTCCTTTTTTGCTCTCCCCCTTGTCCTCCCCACCTCTTTCTCTTCCTTCCTTCCTTCCTTCCTTCCTTCCTTCCTTCCTTCCTTCCTTCCTTCCTTCCTTCCTTCCTCTCTTTCCTTCCCTTTCTTTCCTTCTCTCCTCCCTTTCTTCTCTCCCCCTCGTTTTTCCTGCTTCTCTTCTTCTTCTTCTTCTTCTTCTTCTTCTTCTTCTTCTTTTCACCTCCTTCCCTTTTTCCATGTCACCCTTTCCCTTCCTTACTATCCTTCCTTCATTTTCTTTTCCTCTCTCCTCCTCTTTCTCCTTTTTTCATCTCTCCCTCTCTTTTCCTCCTCCTGCTTCATCCCCTTCTTTTCTTCTCCCTTCTTTCATACCCCCTCTGTCTTGCCTGCACTTCTTCCTTCTTCATTTTCTTTTCCTCTTTCCTCTTTTTTCTCTCTCCCAGAGGCTCAAAGGGAATCCTTCCTCCTCCACCTCCTTTCTGGTACTCATCCCTTCTGCTTCCTCTCTCCTTCCTTCTCCCTGCTCCCTTTTCTCTTCTTTCTTTCCCTCATCCTCCTCCCTCCATCCTCCACCTCCCTAAATCTTTTTTCTTCTTTCTTTGCCTTCTTCAATGCAACTTCCTCCTCTTCTTTACTCTCTGCTTCCCTTCCATTCTCCAACTCTCCCCGCGTCTTCCTTGCTCCCTTTTCTTCATTTTCTTCCTCTCTCCTCCTCTTTTCTTCTCTCTCTCGTTCTTCTTCCTCTTTAGTGTTTTCCTTACTCCTTTCTCCCTCTTCCTCCCTCTCTCCCTTCATCAATGGGGATTGTGCCGTTCTGTCTGGCAGAATGGGGTTGGACTGGATGGCCTTTGGGGCTCCCTTTTAATTATATGAGACTTGGGCAAACTTTGACCCTTCGGGTGTTTTGGACTTCAACTCCCACCATTCCTAACAGCCTATCGGGAGTTGAAGTCCAAAACACCTGGAGGGAAGACCAAAGTTTGCCCAGGCCTGAATTATATGATTCTACTCTTCTATGACTTTATTTGACACTTAGGTTTACTGTTCTCCAAGGTGCTGAAACAATTGGGGTTGGTGGTTCAGCACCTTGGAGAGCTCTTTGGGTGACATGGGGGTCGCTGGCCACTGGGTTTTTCCCCCACTCTGTGCCTTTTGGCTCCCAGCGCTCACCTTCTTCCCTAGTCCTCGATTCCCCTTCCAAGAGGAGCCTTAATGCGCTTTGCCCGGTTCCTTCAGAGGAGGCTGTTGATCCCTTCACAACAATCAGATCAAGGGAGCCCTTCATGGGGATTAATTGGGGAAAGACTTTCACCCAGTAGCCCAAATCCACGCTGAGCCCTTGACGTAGGACCAAAGGGCGGCAATCCTTTAAGCCCTCAGACTCTGAACGTGAGGTCATTCGGCATCACTGAGGACACGGAAACAGGGGTGTGTCTACACCGTAGGATGAACGCAGTTTGAGACCTCTTTAACCACCATAGCTCATTGCTATGGAATCCTGGAGATTGTAGTTTGCTGAGGCACCAGCATCCTTTTCCTGAGAAGGCTAAAGCCCTTGCAGTACTACAACTGCCAGGATTCCATAACATTGAGTCATGGCAGTTCAAGTGATGTCAGCATAGATGCACCATCAAGCACTTGTGAACGCAAAGTAATTCAATTATTGCTCTGCTATTACTGTTGTTGTTATTGTTGTTGTTCGTATCTTTCTATGGTAACATTAATGTACGTGGCACTTTGCAAGCAGCACAATTAGTGGGTCCAAACTAAAATATTTGGGGATTGGTAGATACCAGATAAAAGTAGTTTCTGGTTCTTTTAGAGTTACTTTTTAAAATAGGCCTAATACTATACCATACCATAAATTCTGTATTGACTTCATATTGAAAAATTCGGCAATCAGAAGCAAATTAAGACCGATAAAGAAAAATCTAATTTATTTATTTATTTCGGTTTCTTCTACCCCGCCCTTCTCACCCCGAAGGGGACTCAGGGCGGCTTACAAAAGCAAAGGCACAATTCGATGCCCATGCCCGCATCACATAACAGTCAAAAACAAAAATAACATCAATTCACAGTTAATCAACAATTCCTGCATTGCAACCAATAAAACCAATAAAATCAATAAAACCAATACAAACCCAATACCTCCTCATAAACGGTCAGCGTTCGCTATCTCATAGTTCTAATTTTCAGTTCCACTTTGTCAGTCCTGTCAGTTTTACTCGTCTGATTGTCTTATCTAGTTGTCAGATTGCCCAAAGGCCTGGTCCCACAACCACGTCTTTACCTTCCTCCTGAAGGAGAGGAGGGATGATGATGCCCTAATTTCCCCCGGGAGTGAGTTCCACAGGTGAGGGGCCACCACTGAGAAAGCCCTGCTCCTCGTCCCCACCAACCTCACTTGTGACAGCGGTGGGGTCGAGAGCAGGGCCTCCCCAGATGATCTCAAACTCCGGGGTGGGATGTAGAGGGAGATACATTCGGATAGATACACTGGACTGGAACCGTACAGGGTTTTGTAGGTCAAAACCAGCACCTTGAATTGTGCTCGGAACTGAACGGCAGCCAGTGGAGCTGGCACAGCAGGGGGGTGGTGTGCTCCCTGTATGTCGCTCCGGTGAGCAATCTGGCTGCCGCTCGCTGGACCAGTTGAAGTTTCCGAACAGTCTTCAAGGGCAACCCCACGTAGAGTGTGTTGCAGTAGTCTATTCGGGATGTAACAAGAGCGTGGACCACTGTGGCCAGATCAGACTTCCCAAGGTACGGGCGCAACTGGTGCACAAGTTTTAATTGCGCAAAAGCTCTCCCGGCCACCGCCGAGACCTGGGGTTCCAGGCTCAGCGATGAGTGCAGGATCACTCCCAAGCTGCCATTTAATGGATCATAGAATTCTAGAGTTGGAAGAGACCTCGTGGGCCATCCAGTCCAACCCCATTCTGCCAAGAAGCAGGAAAATCGCATTCAAGGCACCCCCGACAGATGGCCATCCAGCCTCTGCTTAAAAACCTCCAAAGAAGGAGCTTCCACCATCTTCCAAGGCAGAGAGTTTCCCTGCTGAACAGCTCTCCTTACAACCAGGTTCTTCCTAATCTTTAAGTGGAATCTCCTTAATGTCACTTGAACCCATTGCCTGCTTGCTTTCCAGGGTCTTTTTTGGGAGGGTCAAAGTTCTTTTGAACTGGTTTCTTTCCCAGATACGAAGCATGGCAAGAACTGCCCCATCGACTGCGCCTCCATCTACTACAACGGGATCCGACGGTCGGGCATCTACAGCATCATGCCCTCTGCGGAAGGGTTGCCCATCGAAGTGCTGTGTGAAATGGATGTCGAAGGTGCAGTGAGAGGTGACGGGGTTCCTAGTCCTCATGGAGGCTTTGCGAGATGGTAGACTCGTCAGTTCAAGTTGTGTTTCTTCTATGGAGAAGCTGTTGGAAATGCCCTTTTGGGTAACAGGCTTTGGGGTGGATTTCCCTAGTAAACCAGGCATGGGCCAACTTGGGCCCTCCAGGTGTTTTGGACTTCAACTCCCACAATTCCTAACAGCTGGTATGATAACGGGGAAAGGGAGCTAGTAGTCACACATACAATGCACCATTGTCAGAAATTTGATGGAGGAAAAGAGAAAAGGGGGAACGGAGAGAGGATACTTACAAAATTCCTCCTCCTGGTACAGCTGCCTGCGTTTAAGGTGGATTTAGGATGAAAATGGTGCCATGGATATCAATGCAAATGGCAAAGTGTCATTCTTTCATCCCTCTTTTTTTTTTTGCTCCCTTTTTTCATCCGCTGTTGGCAGGTGGTGGTTGGACAGTCATCCAGCGGCGCTTGGATGGCACGGTTGACTTCAACCGGACCTGGAATGAGTACAAGGATGGATTTGGGGATCTCAATGGCGAGTTCTGGATGGGCAACGAGAACATTCACAAGATCACCAACCAAGGAGACTACTCTCTTCGCATCGACATGGAGGACTGGAACAATAAGCACAAGCATGCCTTCTACCAGCTTTTCAGGTTGGTGTCATTTTCGGGATGAACCACATCTTCATGGATTAGGAAGGGATCTTTGAGGTCATCTAGCCCACCCCCTCTGATCAATGTAGAAATGGAAGGAATATTTTAAAAATAATATATATATATGAGAATCTTCACACTCAATCTATGCAAAATTCAGATAGGATTTCTGTGTGTTTTTTGTGTTCTCTGGGAAAAAAGCATTTTCTGCAAAATACAACACCCATATGCACAGGATGGGGACCTCTCTAAGCATTTTCTGACTCCCCCAAGTAATTATATGGTATGATCCCACCAGATGATGTACAACTCTGTCACTCCTTTCCACCTGCTGCTAGGGAGGCTGTTCAGGTCCTGTACCAGTGCTTGGCAGCTGTGATAGTCTGGATGAGGGCGAACAAATTAAAACTGAATCCAAACAAGACAGAGTATTCCTGGCCAGTTGTAAGGCCAAACAGGGCATAGGGTTACAGCCGGTATTGGACGGGGTCACACTCCCCCTGAAGACGCAGGTTTGCAGCTTGGATGTCCTCCTGGACTCATTGCTGAGCCTAGAACCTCAGGTTTTTGCGGTAGCCAGGGGAGCATTCCCACAATTAAAATCTGTGTACAGTTGGACAGTCAGACTTGGTTATGGTAGGCCACACTGTGGTTACATCCCGAATAGACTACTGCAACACGCTCTACATGGGGTTACCTTTGAAGACTGTTCGGAAGCTTCAAGTGGTCCAACTGGCAGCAGCGTATGGGGAGCATGTTGTTTATTCATTCATCGCTTCCAATTCTTTGTGACCTCATGGACCATCCCATACCAGAGCTCCCTGTCAGCCGTCGCCACCCCCAGCTCCTTCAGAGTCAAGCCAGTCATTTCAAGGATAACATCCATCCATCTTGACCTTGGTCAGCCCCTCTTCCCTTTTTCTTCCATTTCCCCAAGCATCATTCTTTTCTCTAAGCTTTCTTGTCTTCTCATGATGTGGCCAAAGGACTTCATCTTGGCCTCTAATATCCTTCCCTCCACTGAGCAGCTGGCTTGATTTCCTGAAGTATGGACTGGTTGGATCTTCTCACGGTCCAAGGCACTCTCCGAATTTTCCTCCAACACCACAGTTCAAAAGCCTCTATCTTTCTTCGCTCAGCCTTCCTTATGGTCCAGCTCTCACATAGAGCGGACAACTCCTCTATTAACATCAGCTCCAGTGGCTGCCAGTGTTCTACCAAGCACAATCTTAGCTGGCTTTAGCCTATAAAGCCCTAAACCAGTGGTTCTCAACCTGGGTTCCCCAGATGTTTTTGGACTACAACTCCTGTAAGCCGCCCTGAGTCCCCCTCGGGGTGAGAAGGGCGGGGTATAAGTAGATGAAATAAATAAATAAATAAATAAATAAATAAATAAACTCCCAGAAATCCTAACAGCTGGTAAACTGGCTGGGATTTCTGGGAGTTGTAGGCCAAAAACATCTGGGGACCCCAGGTTGAGAACCACTGCCCTAAATGGTTCCAGCCCAGCTTACCTGTCCCAAACGTTGGGACAGGTATTAACCTCAGAGGTTAATATCGTCAGGTGAGGCCCCACTCTCGGTCCCATCTCCTTCGCAAGCACAGTAGGTGGGGATGAGAGACAGGGCATTCTCAGTGGTGGCCCTGTGGTTATGGAACTCCCTCCCCAGTGAAATTAGATCATCCCCCTCTCCTGACCTTCAGGGGGAAAAAACTTAAAACATGGCTTTGGGACAAAGCCTTTGATCAGTAATTTGAGCAGTGCAATAAGGAATAGGAATTAATATGACTGACAAATTGAACAGCCCTGGATTATGATTTGGATTTCATGATTTTAGTTGATGTTTTAATAATTGATGTTTTTAACTGCTTGGATTTTAATGTATTTGTTTATTTTATGAATATGTATATGTATGGCATTGTTGTAAGGCTGCTCTGAGTCCCCTTCAGGATAAATAATAAATAAATAAATAGAATCATAGATTTGGAAGAGATTTGGTGGGCCATCCATTCCAACCCCATTCTGCCAAGAAGCAGGGAAATCCATTCAAAGCACCCCTGACAGATGGCCCATCCAGCCTCAGCTTAAAAGCCTCCAAAGAAGGAGCCTCCACCACACTCCAGGGCAGAGAGTTCCACTGCTGAACAGTAGGCTTGGGCGGTTTCGTTCGTTAAATTCGTAATTTGTTATTAATTCGTATTTAAATTAGCTTACGATCCAATATTGAGCCATTTTGGAATAGTGTGAGGAGTAATTAAGAATCGAAACAATTTTCCCAATTTTTGTAATTATTTCGTAATTATTTTCATAATATAATATAATAATATATAATTTATAATACAATATATTATAATAATATAATATACAATAATATAATATTATAATATATAATAATAATATAATATAATAATATAATAATAATAATATATATTATAATAATATAATATACAATAATATAATATAATAATATTAATATTATAATAATTAATATAGTATATAATAATATAATATATAATAATATAATATAATATAGTTGTTGTTTGTTTTATCACACCAACAGTCAACAACAGAGGGAGAGGGAAGCTTCAGAAGTTCCCCCTGTCCCATTTGGAGGTTTTTTTTTAGCATATTGCGCAATCGCGTCCGCCATTAACGAATCAATTCGAAATTTACGAAATTTCGTAAATTTTGAAATTTTTTAAAGAAAAAATTCGGAATTCTTTAAAAAAACGAAACACAATGGACCCCTAAAAACAAAACGAGTTTAGAAACAATTTTTTCTGTTGTTACCCAAGCCTACTGAACAGCTCTCAGGAAGGTCTTCCTCATATTCAGGTGGAATCTCCTTTCCTGTTACATTAATCATGGTGATGTAGCTGATAGAGAATTCCAGCTTAAATTCCTTGCCAATGAGGACCGCAATTGGGGATCCCATAAGACGCCTTCAATGCATTTCCTTTTGCTTTTCAGCATCGAGGACGAGGTGAACTATTACCGCCTCCAGGTGGAAGGCTTCAGTGGGACGGTGGAGGACTCTTTTGCCTGGTACCACAACAAGAGGGGCTTCAGCACGCCTGACTCAGGGAACATCTGCGCCGCCATCTCACATGGAGGCTGGTGGTACCACCAGTGCTTCTTCTCCAACCTCAACGGAGTTTACTACAAGGTCTCACAAATGCAACTTGTTCCCTGTTGTTGTTCTGTGCCCGCTCCAAGAACCCAAAGGTGTCTTCTGTCCAATGGCTTTATCTTTCTTCCTCTTGGAGAGAAGTGACCATTGGGGTGCCATAAAGAGAGTCCTGTTCTGGGCCTTTCAAGGCGATTCCACACCTCTATCAGTGATTTGTGCAATTGAATGGGAAGTATCCTGATCACATTTGCAGATCGGATCAAATTGGGAGGGAAACTTAATAACTCAGGTCACTTCTATACTGCCTCTATATTTCAGAATCTGATCCAAGATTATCTTTTTATTCCAGATTTTCTGGCAGTGGAGACTCATATAATCCAGATTAAATCAGATAATATGGAGTCAGATCCTGGGATATAGCCTAGTACAGAAGGGGCCTAAATGAGCCAAGAATGTTATAATGCAGCTAAAGAAGCCAATGTGATTCTGGGCTGCATCAACAGGAGTTAAGTGTCCAAATGCAGGGAAGTTATAGCCATTCTCTCTTCAGCTTCTGTTGGGAGAATTGTAGGCTGTGGGAACCCCCAGGCACCCTAGCATTACAACTATATTGAATCATAAAGTTGGAAGGGACCCCCAAAGGCCATCCAGTCCAACCCCCTTCTGCTATGCAGGAAGACAAAATCAAAATTCTCCCAACAGATGGCAATCCAGTCTCTGAAGATCACCAGTGAAGGAGACATCACCAGTCTTCCAGGAAGTCCTTCACTAGAGTCAGAAGGAACCCCCAAAGGCCATCAAGCCATGTGGAAAGATGCAATCAAAGCTCCTCCAACAGATAGTCATCCAGTCTCTGTTTAGAGACCTCCAGTGAAGGAAACTCCACTAGAATTCCAGGCAGTCTATCTTTAACTAATTTGAAGGGATCCCCAAAGGCCATCCAGTCCAATCCCCTTCCTTCGTGCAGGAAGGCATGATCAAAGCCTCCCCAACATATGACCATCCAGTGAAGGATCTAGTGAAGGAGACTCCACCAGAGTTCCAGGCAGTCTATCTTTCAGTAGATTCAGAAGGGACCCCCAAAGGCCATCCAGTCCAACCCCCTTATTCCAGGCAGGAAGACACAATTGAAACCCTCCCCACTTTACTGGGGAGGAACAGACTCAGCTCCTAATGCCTCCTGTCTTTCTCCCCCTCCCATTGTCTGCATTCGCAGGGGGGAAGATACTCCTTGAAAAACCGCAAGATCCTGGGTCCGGATGGCGTGGTCTGGTACACCTGGAAGGACACCGATTACTACTCCCTCAAGAGGGTCACCATGATGATCCGGCCCCGCACCTTCCGGCCCCATCTCTCCCCGTGAAGGCCATCCGGAGCTTCTTTCCCACTTGAGCACCCAATGACTGCTCCAGATGAAGACATGGCATCCAGGAAACGATGCCAACAGCAGCCGAGTGGACACAGCCTGCATGGGCAAGGCTTTTTGCTGAGGATTTGATCAATTGGTCAGTTCCTGAAAGATGGATCTTCCTGCGGCCATGGCTTGAGAAGAAGGAGACTTCTCATCACTTCTCGCTGCCGTTTTGAGATGGACCGCAGAGGAAAACCATCTATCTCTAAGATGTCTCTATGGCACACAAATGAGACAGGAAGTCCCATTTGAGATGGTCTTCAGAAGGTGCAAGTGAAACAGGAAATTGCTTCCCATCACCTTCTGTCAGCATTTTGAGAGGAACCACTGAAGAAAGCCATCCTGTCTGCACAAAGGAGGCAGTGGAAGGCAGCGGGAAAAGGCACTGCACTCTGGGCCTTTCTACACTGACATATAACCCAGTTTCCGAATCCAAATGATCTGTTTTGATCTGGATTATCTGGCAGTTTAGACCCTGGCTGCCCTGGGTTTGTAACAAGACCTGAGCTGAGCAGCAGAGGTCCAGCCTTCTTGGATGACTTTTGGTCAGAAAAGCCAACTTGACCTCAAATAACCACAAATATCAGAGGCATACGGTGCTGCCCCAGATAGAAGAAGTTGGACTTTGCTGGAAAGTCTCTTGCCTGTTATCCTTCTGGAAGGGTTTGGGAATCGGAGGCACTGTGTTGCAATGGTTCAGATTGTCTTCTTCAGGCTGGTTCCAGATGGTGGTGCTTTGGGATAGCTGCTCCTCAAAAAGGAGCTCTTATATGGCATCACCCAACAAGGTGCCATTCTGTCCCCAATGCTCTTTTAATATACACCTCAGGTTGCATTGCAGCAGGTGGTCAGTGGTTTGCTCTTTCTCCACACTCGCATGTCGTGGATTCCACTTGGTAGCCCCATTTCTTGAGGTTGGCTCTGCATCTCGTGGTGCCAGAGCGCAGTCTGTTCAGCGCCTTCCAAGTAGCCCAGTCTTCTGTGTGCCTGGGGGGAATCTCTCATTTGCTATCAGTCATTGATTGAGGTTCTGGGTTTGAGCCTGCCACTTTTGGACTCTCGCTTGCTGAGGTGTTCCAGTGAGTGTCTCTGTAGATCTTAGAAAACTATTTCTTGATTTAAGTCGTTGACGTGCTGGCTGACACCCAAACAGGGGATGAGCTGGAGATGTCTCTGCCTTGGTCCTTTCACTATTGGCTGCTACTTCCTGGTGGATGTCAGGTGGTGCAATGCCGCCTAAACAGTGTAATTTCTCCAGTGGTGTAGGGCACAGACATCCCGCGATAATGCGGCATGTCTCATTAAGAGCCACATCCACTGTTTTAGTGTGGTGAGATGTGTTCCACACTGGGCATGCATACTCAGCAACAGAGTAGTGAGGCAGATGTCTTCACTGTGTCTGGTTGTGATCCCCCGGTTGTGCCAGTCAGCTTTCGTATGATATTGCTTCTAGCACCCACTTTTTGCTTGATATTCAGGCAGTGCTTCCTGTAGGTCAGAGCAATATGCTGATGATACCCAAATACATTTTCCATGCCTTCAAAAACAGCTTCAACTAAGGAAAATGTGACTCCTCTGAATGACTGTCACCTGAAGGAGGTAATGGGCTGGAGGAGGAAAAATAAATTGAAACTAGATCCTTGATGGTGCTTGCCATTAAGGGCCCTATTTTATTAATTAATTATTTATTTACTACATTTATATACCGCCCCTCTCAGGCCACAGGCAACTTGATGTTCTTTGGATTATGCTTCATGCTGTTTACTATTGAACTTTTGAAACTTACTTTTGCATTTAAGACTTTTTTTCTTCAATAAACTACAAAATCTTCAGCCTTCATGTGCTTTGGTATTTGGAGCAAGGTGACTCTACTCTGAGCTGCGACAGGTAAAACATCAAAACATCTAGATGTCCCCTGAGCAACACCCTTGCCAAAGGTCAATTATGTCACACCAGAAACAACTTGCAGTTTCTCAAATCACTCCTGACATGAAAAAAGAAGAAGAAGACACCAGAACCCAACTGGCCATTGTCATCTAGAGGGCCTTTTCATTGACCGCCCCAAAAGAAGACTGAAATGATCACCCGGAAGAAGCGATCCCATAGCAGCTAAGTCAGGTATTGGAATTTAAGAGACAATTGGAGAACTATCTCACTGTCTCTTCCAACAGACCTGCCCAGTCAAAGTTTAACTATGAATTTTAAACTCATGTCCTGTGTTTACTGTATTTCAATTTCTGTATCGTAATAAACATGCATTTCATATAAATTTGTTTCAATATAAGCGTTTTGCATAATGTTTTATAATGTGCATTTAACTGTGTTCTGCCCTGCCTCGAGGAGAGGCGGGCAAGATATAAAACCATCATCACTATCACTATCATTATTATTATTATTATTATTCTGACACAAAACACAGTATGTCACAACAAACGAGATCTATATGCTGGGTTTCGTATCACAAAGTCGAACACTTCCCAAGCGTCTAGAACTGTGTGATGTATTTTCGAATGATGCGCGCAGATCCAAGTCATTTGACCTTTTGCTGTTGACAGATTGTGATTTTGTCAATGTTTATTGTTTCCAAATGCCAGCTGAGATTTTTTTTTGGCACAGCACCCAGTGTGCCAATGACCACTGGGACCACCTGGACTGGTTTATGCCAGAGCCTTTGCAGTTTCGATTTTGGTGTCTTGATAATGGCTGAGTTTTTCCTGTTGTTTTTCCTCGATGCGACTATCACCTGGAATAGCGACATCAATAATCCAGACTTTTTTCTTTTCCACAATCGTGATGTCTGGTGTATTGTGTTCCAAAACTTTGTCAGTCTGTATTCGAAAGTCCCACAGTATTTTTGTGTGTTCATTTTCCACGACCTTTGCGGGTTTATGATCTTCACTAGAAATGTTCAAAAAGAACCTTAAAACCTGGCTCTTCCGCTGCGCCCTGGGCAAGTAGATGCACAACATGACACTATTGCTCCCCTCAACACTTCTGCCACTGGAGTACATGCCCTCCAAATGGGAAGTTTAGTTCCACAACCCTGTGTGTTTTTATGAGCTCCCTGCAAACAACCTGCTCCTATTCTATCTCATTAGAGTTTTAATCATTTTATCCTGTACATGTGGCCCGCCCATTGTTATCGTGCTTGTATTTATTGGAATGTTATTTTGTTACTGTGTTTATACTTTTTTTCTATGTAATTTTGATGAAGTTGCTTGTTGTTTATGTTCTGGTTTTATTTTGCTGTAACATGCTGTCCGGGTTTGGCCCCATGTAAGCCGCTCCGAGTCCCCATTGGGGAGATGGTGGCGGGGTATAAATAAAGATTATTATTATTATTATTATTATTATTATTATTATTATTATTATTATCCCACCAATTCTTTACTGCTGGCAGGTGGTACTTGTGACTTAAGTTCCAGTGAATCATTTGGGCCACAGAGTTGTGCCTCTGTTTGTAGTCCGTCTGTGCGACTTTCTTGCAGCAGCTGAGGATATGATTCATAGTTTCATCCGCTTCCTTGCACAGTCCACATTTTGGGCCATCCGTTGATTTTTCAATCCTGGCCTTGATGGCATTTGTCCTGATGGCTTGCTCCTGGGCTGCAAGAATCAGGCCTTCTTCTGTCTCCTTCTTCAGGGTTCCATTTGTGAGCCATAACCAAGTGTTCTCCTTATCAACTTTTCCTTCAATTTCCTTCAATTATTATTATTTTTGAACTTAAACTCTATGGATTATTCCACAGTGCCATCCCCTGGCATACAACTCCCAGAAATCCCAGCCAGTTTACCAGCTGTTAGGATTTCTGGGAGTTGAAGACCAAAAACATCTGGGGACCCCAGATTGAGAACAACCCTGTTTTGCATATACAGTAGAGTCTCGCGTATGTAACATAAACGGGCTGGCAGAACGTTGGATAAGCGAAAATGTTGGCTAATATGGAGGGATTAAGGAAAAACCTATTAAACGTCAAATTATGTAGGTTATGATTTTATAAATTAAGCACTAAAATATCATGTTTTACAACAAATCGACAAAAAAAGCATCTCAATACACGGTAACGTTATGTAGTAATTATTGTATTTACGAATTTAGCACCAAAACATCACAATGTATTGAAACAGCTGTGGATCCAGGTGAGAGGCAGACTGTGCTGGATCATATAGAATGTGGGATGAGCAAAGATTGGATAAGCGAGACTCTACTGTAATCAAGGCTATTTGGAACGGGGGGCGGGGGGGAGGAATCTTTATTATTATTAGATGTAGCCATTGGATAGAGTTAAGGAACTGAATATGTTTAGAAATGAGCTATATATAGTTAAGAATAATCTTCAGGTTTGGACCAAAGATTATGCTAAACTTGCTGGCATATTTAGCAAGGAACAGAGAAGACCGGTGGTGACGGGGAAAAGGAAATGGCCTGAGGCTGTTAGGAATGGTGGGAGTTGAAGTCCAAAACACCTGGAGGGCCCAAGTTTGCCCATACCTGGTCTATACATGCACTAACAGGCATCAACAGGCTTTTTCTTTCCACACTGGAGCTTTGCAAAACCTGATCATTTATTGGTCTTTGTTGCCATCTAGTGGTAGTTTGCCCACAACTATTACTTCTTACTTATGGATACTTACTTACTAGGCCTGGGTAACAACGGAAAAATTTGTTTCTAAAATCGATTCGTTTGTTGGGGTTTTTGCGTTTCGATATTTAAAAGAATTCCAAAATTTTTCTTTTAAAAAGTTCAATATTTACGAAATTTCATAAATGTAAAAAAATTACGAAACATTAACGAATCGATTCGTTAATGGCGGACGCGACCGCGCAATACGCTAGGGCCCGCCAGGACCCTAAGATCTTCTGGGGGGGCCTGCTCTCTATCCCGCCTGCTGCTCAGGTGCGGCTGGCGGGGACGAGAGACAGGGCCTTTTCTGTAGTGGCCCCGCGGCTGTGGAACGCCCTTCCCATGGAGGTAAGATCAGCCCCCTCATTGATGGTTTTCCGGAAAAGACTAAAAACCTGGATGTTCGAGCAGGCGTTCGGTTAACTCAGTGCAATAAGTGTAATGATTGAAGGACTGGCAATCTGGACGACGAAACTGGATCACGATTTTAGTCAAGAGATGAATTGGATTGTTTATTGATATATGTATTGTGGATTGTGTTTTTATGCTTTTAAACTGTATACTGTTGTTTGTTATAAGTTGTTGTAAACCGCGTTGAGTCGCCGGCTGGGCTGAGAAACGGCGGTATACAAGTATAGCAAATAAATAAATAAAATAAATAAATAAAAAACCTCCAAATGGGACAGGGGGAACTTCTGAAGCTTCCCTCTCCCTCTGTTGTTGACTGTTGGTGTGATATTATAATTTTTTTTCACTAATTAAACAAAAAACAACCATAAAACTTGCCCCAGACATGCAGAAATAATAACAAAACGACCTCAAAACAATAACGAAACGAATACAATAACGAAATACGAAGCATTTACAAAACGTATTTAAAAATTCGTTTTTTAAAATAATTGCTCCAGAATGGTTCGTTATCGTTTTGTAATTAAAAAAATTAACGAATTTTTAACGAATTACGAATTAACGAAACGAAACCATCCACCTGATCTCTTTTTTCGATAGAGTTACAAGCTGGGTAGATGCGGGAAATGCCGTGGATGTAGTGTACCTGGATTTCAGTAAGGCCTTCGTCAAGGTCCCCCATGACCTTCTGGCAAACAAACTAGTCCAATGTGGGCTAGGCAAAACTACGGTGAGGTGGATCAGTAATTGGTTAAATGGACGAACCCAGAGGGTGCTCCCATGCTTCCTCTTCATCCTGGAAAGAAGTGACGAGTGGAGTGCCATCAGCAGGGTTCTGTCCTGGGCCCGGTCCTGCTCAGGATCTCCATTAATGACTTAGATGAAGGGCTAGAAGGCAGGATCATCAAGTCTGCAGATGACACCAAATTGGGAGGGAGAGCCAAGAGTCCAGAGGACAGGAGCAGGATTCAAAACGATCTTGACAGATTAGAGAGATGATTGGCCAAAACTAACCAAATGAAGTTCAACAGGGACAAATGCAAGAGATTCCACTTAGGATTTTGGCCTGCATCAATAGGAGCATAGTGTCTAGGTCTAGGGAAGTAACCCCTCTATTCCGCTTTGGTTAGACCACACCTGGAATATTGTGTCCAGTTCAAGAGAGATATTGACAAGCTGGAATGTGTTCAGAGGAGGGCAACTAAAATGATCAAGGGTCTGGAGAACAAGCCCTATGAGGAGCGGCTTAAGGAGCTGGGCATGTTTAGCCTGAAGAAGAGAAGGCTGAGAGGAGATATGATAGCCATGTATAAATATGTGAGAAGAAGCCACAGGGAGGAGGGAGCAAGCTTGTTTTCTGCTTCTTGGAGACTAGGACGCGGAACAATGGCTTCAAACTACAAGAAAGGAGATTCCATCTGAACATGAGGAAGAACTTCCTGACTGTGAGATGTTCAGCAGTGGAACTCTCTGCCCCGGAGTGTGGTGGAGGCTCCTTCTTTGGAAGCTTTTAAACAGAGGGGTGATTTGAATGCAATATTCCTGCTTCTTGGCAGGGGGTTGGACTAGATGGCCCATGAGGTCTCTTCCAACTTTTTGATTCTATGATTCTATTATCTGTTCTGCAGGATGTATTTTCATTCACTGGACCAAATTTGGCACAAATACCCAATACACCCAAAATTGAATACTGGTGTGGTTGGGAGGGGGGTAGATTTTATCATTTGGGAGTTGTAGTTGCTGGGATTTACAGTTCACCCTCAATCAAAGAGCATTCTGAACTCCACCAACGATGGAATTGAAGACCCATTAGATCAGTGTTTCGCAACCTTCCTTATTTTATTATTTCAGCTACTTAATATTTAATGTTGATTTTACTTAAGTCAGTGTTTCTCAACCTTCCGAATTCCATGACCCCTTAACACAGTTCCTCATGTTGTGGTGACCCCCAACCATAACCTTATTTTTGTTGCAACTTCATAATTCATGTTGATTTAGTCATTTGGGAGCTGTAGGTCCTAGGATGTATAGTTCACCTACAATCAAAGAACACTAAACCCACCAATGATGGAATTGAACCAAACTTGGCACAGAGCTCCCATGACCAACAGAAAATACTGGAAAGGTTTGGTGGTCATTGACCTTGAGTTTTGGAGTTGTAGTTCACCTACATCCCGAGGGCACTGTGGACTCACACAATGATGGATCTGGACCAAAATTGGCATGGATACTCCATATGCCCAAATGTGAACACTGGGGGAGTTTGGGGGAAATAGATCTTGATATTTGGGAGTTGTAGTTGCTAGGATGTATAGTTCACCTACAATCAAGGAGCATTCTGAACTCTACCAATGATGGAATTGAACCAATATTGGCACACAGAAGTCCCATGACCAACATAAAGTACTGGAAGAGTTTGGTGGGCATTGACCTTGAGTTCTGGAGTTGTAGTTCACTTACATCCAGAGAGCACTGTGGACTCAAACAATGATGGATCTGGACCAAAATTGGCACGGAAACCCCATATGCCCAAATGTGAACACTGGTGGAGTTTGGCGGAAATAGACCTTGACATTTGGGAGTTGTAGTTGCTGGGATTTATAGTTCACGTAYGATCAAAAAGCATTATGAACTCCACCAATGATGGAATTGGGCCAAACTTCCCACACAGAACCCCTATGACCAACAAAAAATACTGTGTTTTCTGATGGTCTTTGGTGACCCCTCTGACACTCCCTCATGACCCCCCCCCCTCAGGGGTTCCGACCTCCAGGTTGAGAAACACTAAGGCTGGATGGCCATCTGTCGAAGGTGCTTTGAATGCGATTTTCCTGCTTCTTGGCAGGGGGTTGGACTGGATGGCACACCAGGTCTCTTCCAACTCTATGATTCTATGATTCTAAGATGGAGCCAGCTCTTTTTGGCTGCTCCAGAGATTAGGATACAAACCAAATGGCAAGAAAAATGGGGAAGAACTTCTTGAAGGGAATGGATATCTTCACATTGTGGTGGACTCACATGTCATGTATGCTATGTGCCTTCATGTTGACTCTAATGGATGGTGACCCTAACCTAGGGTTTCATTGGACAGATTTCATCTGAGGAGGTTGTCCATTGCCTTCCTTTCTAGATGCCGCAACATGGGCTTCTGCAGATGAGTGAGATTCGAACCCTGGTCTCCAGAGTCATAGTCCAACAATGCAAACTATGGACTTCATTCATCTGGAGATCTTTAAACTGAAGTTGGAGGACCACCTCTCGGGTGTGTTTGGGGTTTGACTAGATGGCCTTTCGGGTCTCTGTGATTCCTTTGAAGACTATATAGCAGGCATGGGCAAACATGGGCCCTCTGGGTGTTTTGGACTTCAACTCCCTACCGGCTGTTAGGAATTGTGGGAATTGAAGTCCAAAACACCCAGAGGACCCAAGTTTGCCCATGCCTGCTATAGAGAGATGCAAAACTCCAAAATCCCCCCAAAATCACAGCACTGGAGCATCAATCAGAAAGAAAAGGAATGTCGGCAGTTTTATTTACAACCATTGTGTACAAAAGAAGAGGTCCTTGCTAGAGCCGGAAGAGTTACAAAAGTTCCTTTTTCCCCTCCTTGACCTTGATCTCCTTCTCAATCGCCACAAGTTCATGTCGAGAAGGAGGAGAACTGGGAGACACAACCCACCTCCATACAATCCCCATTTTTAGTCTTTCCTCCCCATAGTACTCATTCCATAAATGCCACATCCAGAGATACCAGGGAGCCAAACATCCGGAGTCTGCAAATAGAGGATTTCTTGCTTCCAAGTTGTATGTTTTTAAGTCTCAATAGTACTTAACCAATTCATGTGGGACAAGCATTTTGATTTTTGCCTTTAGATATATCTACACTGTAGAATGAATGCAGTTTGACACCACTTTGACTACCATGGATCATTGCTATGGAATATTGGGAGTTGTAGTTTGGGGAGGTGCTCATCTTCAATTGGCAGAGAAGATTGAAGACCTTGTGCAACTACAACTCACGCGGCAGTTTAAACAGTATCAGGTTGCATTAATTCTACAGTGTAGATGGATCCTATGTGACAGCTTGGGAAAATTCCTTTGTTGACAACTGCTTTTCCATAGTTCCTCAGTCATATAGCTGAGAAGGTACTCCAAAGGCCATCTAGTCCAGTCCCATTAGATCAGTGTTTCGCAACCTTCCCTATTTTATTATTTCAGCTACTTAATATTTAATGTTTATTTTACTTAAGTCAGTGTTTCTCAACCTTCCGAATGCCGCGACCCCTTAACACAGTTCCTCATATTGTGGTGACCCCCAACTATAACCTTATTTTCGTTGCAACTTCATAATTCTAATGTTGCTACTGTTATGAATCGCAATGTAAATATTTGATATGCAGAATGTATTTTCATTCAGTGGACCAAATTTGGCACAAATGCCCAAATTTGAATTCTGGTAGGGTTGGGGGAGGGATTGATTTAGTCATTTGGGAGTTGTAGGTCCTGGGATGTATAGTTCACCTACAATCAAAGAGCTTCTGAACTCCACCAACAATGAAATTGAATTGAACTTGGCACACAGAATTCCCACCACCAACAGAAAATACTGGAAGGGTTTGGTGGGCATAGACCTTGAGTTTAGGAGTTGTAGTTCATCTATATCCAGAGAGCACTGCGGACTCAAACAATGATAGATCTGGACCATACTTGGCATGAATACCCAATATGCCCAAATGTGAACACTAGTGGAATATAGGGAAAATAGCCCTTGACATTTGGGAGTTGTCGTTGCTGGGATTTATAGTTCACCTACAATGAAAGAGCATTCTGAACTCCACCAACAATGGAATTGAACCAAACTTGGTACAGAATTCCCATGACCAGAACACACTGGAAGGGTTTGGTGGGCATAGACCTTGAGTTTGGGAGTTGTAGTTCACCTACATCCAGAGAGCACTGTGGACTCAAACAATGATGGATCTGGACCAAACTTGGCATAAATACTCAATATGTCCAAATGTGAACACTGGTGGAGTTTGGGTAAAATAGACCTTAATGACATTTGGGAATTGTAGTTGCTGGATTTATAGTTCACCTACAATCAAAGACATTGAATAAAACATACAGAATGAAAAATATATTGTTGAAGGCTTTCATGGCCGGAATCACTGGGTTGTTGTAGGGTTTTTTTCGGGCTATATGGCCATGTTCTAGAGGCATTTCTCCTGACGTTTCGCCTGCATCTATGGCAAGCATCCTCAGAGGTAGTGAGGTCTGTTGGAACTAGGAAAAAGGGGTTTATATATCTGTGGAATGACCACAAACAAAAGATTGCCCCAGGCACTGCCAGGCCATTATATGCTAATCAAGGTGGTCAGTTGAAACATTCACACCTAGCTCCAGCAGACAAGAGTCCTTTGTCCCACCCTGGTCATTCCACAGATATATATAAACCCCTTTTCCTAGTTCCAAGAGACCTCACTACCTCTGAGGATGCTTGCCATAGATGCAGGCGAAACGTCAGGAGAGAATGCCTCTAGAACATGGCCATATAGCCTGAAAAAACCTATAACAACCCAGTGATTCCGGCCATGAAAGCCTTCGACAATACATTGAACTTCAAATGTTTGTGATCCCTCTGACACCCCCCATGACCCCCCCCCCCCCGGGGTACTGATCCCCAGGATGACAAATGCTGCATTAGATAATTCCCTAGCTGTTGGATGGTTTTATCTTTCCAGTATGCTTCAGTTGTGTTTTCCTCCTGGGAAGAGTGGGGTTGGACTAGATGGCCTTTGTGGTCCCTTCCAACTCTGTCATCCAACAGGGACACTCACGAGGCAGAATGGGGTTGGATTAGATGACCTCTGGAGATCCCTTCCAGCTTTAAAATCAAACGCTGTCACACTCAAATAGTCAGTCCTCATGATCTGAGATTGGGAGCAGGTGCCACAAACGCCTTTCACTTTATTGGTAGGCAGGCAGCTCTATGGGAACCTCTTCCAAAATGATGCTGCCGGTCGCCTGCCGCAGCTCCAGTTGGCTTTGCAAGAACATGAATTGATGCAACATAGAATAAATTGTACATTTCCAGACAGCAAGAAAAATTATTGGATAAATAAAGAATTATTGAGCTTGCCACATGCACTCAGGTCCTTATGAGGATGAAAGGAAGCAATGGCAGGGATGTGGGATGCTCAAACAACAGCCAATCTCTGGCAAAGGTAGTGATTATTATTATTATTATTATTATTATTATTATTATTATTATTCACTGTAAAGCAATGCCAGGCTTAGAGTCAAGAGACAAGATGAAGAAACGAGGTGCTTCGACACTGTAGAATTAATGGATATCGACACCACTTGAGCTGCCCTGACTCAATGTCCTGGGAGTTGTAGTTTGCTGAGGCATCAGCGCTCTTTTCCAAAGAGGGCCCAAGACCTTGTCAAACTACAATCCCCACAATTCCATCACATTGGACCATGGCAGTTCAAGTGGCAACCAACTGCATTCATTCTACTGCATAGATGCGCACTTTAACCGCCATGGCTCAATGTGATGGCATCCTGGGAGCTGTAGTTTGGCAAGGCCACTGCACACTTTGGTGTAGAAGGCAAAAGATCTGTTATGGCTGTGAAAAAAGTGTCAAAACTGCTATAACTCTGTAGTGTGGATGGCCTCTAGGAGTGCACTCAATGCGATGGAATCCTATGAGTTGCAGTTTCTCAAGCCTCCTCTGGAAAGGTGTGCTGATGCCTCACCAAACTACAAAAGCCAGGTTTCCATTGTGCTGAGTGATGGCAGTTACAGTGGTATCGATCTGCATTCATTCTACGGTATGGACAGACCTTTAAATGAAAGAAAGGTGGAACTTGCTCTTTTCGCACTCATGACCGACATCGAAATGGCAAAAGACACGAGACGACATTCACCCCGGCAGTGGCTTGGCTTCCCTTTTCCTGGCCCCCTCCCAAAACCATTACCAATTGTTCCTTACGCCGATTTCCTCTTTGGCCCCCCCACCCAGCCTCAAAGCCTCCCACTTCCACCATTTGCACCCCGAAAACAGGGTTGCATCCCATTGTGAAACACCACCATTTTTTTGCACGAAAAGGAAACCTGTCCGGACTCAGGTTCCCAATATCCTCCCCCCAAAAACCCATAGACTTCCTCTTCCCAGACTTACGTCCCCCTCCCTCCCTGAAACGCACAAGATGGTTTCACTCTCCTTTTTTTGTTTTTTTGTTTTCCACATTCACAAACAACGAAAGCAGCGGACAATCCCGATTCATCAATTTTGTTTTTCCGCGCTCGAGACAGCTGTCACCGCGACCGCCGCCTGATGCACGCCGTTCCTCCCTTGCAGCTTTTAGTCCGAACTGTGGAGAGTCCCTTTACCTGGAAGCCTCTTCTTTGAGCTCCTTGTTCTTCCGCACTTCCTCGGCGTGTTTGTCCTGAAGAAGAAGACAGAGGCAAAGGGGATTAAATTGGCTCCACAATCCAGAATGTTAGGAAACCACAAGCCAATAGTGTGATGTGGCAGCTTAATAAGCCAATGCGATTCTAAGGTATGGCACTCAAGCAGGGAAACTAAAATGCAGGATGGGTGGCACCTGGCTTGACAACAGTTCATGTGCATATGAGCCAACTCTGTCATGCAGCAGCTTAAAAAGTCAATACAATTCTATGCTACATCAATATGAGCATGGTGTCTAGAACAGTAGTTCTCAACCTGGGGTCCCCAGATGTTTTTGGCCTACAACTCCCAGAAATCCCAGCCAGAGGTTCTCAACCTGGGGTCTCCAGATTTTTTTGGCCTACAACTCCCAGAAATCCCAGCTAGTTTACCAGCTGTTAGGATTTCTGGGACTTGAAGGCCAAAAACATCTGGGGACCCCAGGTTGAGAACCACTGGTCTAGAACAATGTTTCTCAACCTGGGGGTCGGGAGCCCTGGGGGGATCGTGAGGGGGGTGTCAGAGGGGTCACAGAAGACCATCAGAGAACATAGTACTTTCTGTTGGTCATGGGGGTTCTATGTGGGAAGACTGGTGGGGTTCTCCCATTGGTGGGGTTTAGAATGCTGTTGGTAGGTGAACTATAAATCCCAACAACTACAACTCCCAAATGTCAAGTATATTTTCCCCAAACTCCACCGGTGTTCACATTTGCCCATATTGAGTATTCATGCCAAGTTTGGTCCAGAGCCATCATTGCTTGAATCAAGAGTGTAGGTGAACTACAATTTCAAAATCCAAGGTCAATGCCCACCAAATCCTTCCAGTATTTTGTGTTTATCATGGGAGTTCTGTGTACCAAGTTTGGCTCAGTTCCATCATTGATGGAGTTCAGAATGCTTTTTGATTGTAGGTGAACTATAAATCCCAGAAACTACAACTCCCAAGTGTCAAGTATATTTTTCCCAAACTCTACCAGTGTTCACATTTGGGCATATTGAGGATTTGTGCCAAGTTTGGTCCAGTTCTATCATTGCTTGAATCCAGAGTGCTCTCTGGATGGAGGTGAACTACAATTCCAAAACCCAAGGTCAATGTTCAGCAAAGCTGATGTTGGTCATGGGAATTCTGTACCAAGTTTGGTTCAATTCCATTGTTGGTGGAGTTCTGAATGCTCTTTAATTGTAGATGAACTATACATCCCAGCAATTACAGCTCCCAAATGACAAAATCAATCCCTCCCCAACCCCACAAGTATTCAATTTGGGGCGTATTGGGTATTTGTGCCAAATTTGGTCCAGTGAATTAAGATACATCCTGCATATCAGGCATTTACATTACGAGTCCTAACAGGAGCAAAATGATAGTTATGAAGTAGCAACGAAAATAATTTTATGGTTGGGGGTCAGCACAACATGAGGAACTGGATTAAGAGGTCACAGTATTAGGAAGGTTGAGAAACACTGGTCTAGAATGAGGATTCTACCAACTGTTGTTATTGTTACTGCTGTAGTCTATATTCCCAGTAGATAATGAGATTCATAGTTTGGCACTCAGACACAATAGGCTGAAGACCATGTCAGATCCATGTCAGATGTCATTGGATGGAGCTATGGGAATTCAAGCGGTGTCAAACCGCTATAACTCTGCAGTGTAGATGATCTCAAAAGCTATACCCCAAGGTTTGTGAGATATTTCTCCTTCCCTGTCAGAGAGCAATAGTGCCACAGCATACTGCAAATCCCAAAATTCCAAAGGACCATTAAAGTGGTACCAAACTACTATATTTCTGCAAAGTCTGTGTCTCCTAGTGAGGAGTTTGCTACCTAGGCATGCTTCAACACTGTAGAATGAATGCAGTTAGCAACTACCGTGGGATTCAGGGAGTTGCAATTTTACAAGATCTGTAGCCTTCTCTATCTTAGTCTGCTTGCACTTCAGTAAACTATGACTCCCTCATGATTGCATTGCATCGTGCGGTTGCAATTAAACTATGCATTCATTCTATAGTGCAGATGCATCCTCCGAGTCTTGAAAACCCAACTCTGATGGGATTCAACTTCACTCACTTTTTCCTGCAGACGCTCCAACATGGCTGCTAAATGGGCTTCCCGGTTCTCCTTGTTGGACTCCATTTTCTGCCACAGTCTCGCTTTGGCTGTCTTGATGAAGTTGTTGTTCTCTTCGATGGCCTTCTGGATAACCACCCGTTCGTGCTCCCGCTTGCCAGCCAGGTGCTTCAAGAGCTCTGCCTCCTGGTACTAAACCCAAGAAAGACAAAGCTAAATAAACAAACCCAGGATCACCTGAGAAGGAATCCCACTGGAGCATTGCAATGCACCCAAATACCTGGAAGCCACCCTGGACGGTGCTCTGACCTACAAGAAGCACTGCCTGAACATCAAGCAAAAAGTGGGTGCTAGAAACAATATCATATGAAAGCTGACTGGCACAACCTGGGGATCACAACCAGACACAGTGAAGACATCTGCCCTTGCGCTATGCTACTCTGCTGCTGAGTTCGCATGCCCAGTGTGGAACACATCTCACCACACTAAAACAGTGGATGTGACACTTAATGAGACATGCCGCATTATCACGGGGTGTCTGCGCCCTACACCACTGGAGAAATTACACTGTTTAGCTGGTATTGCACCACCTGACATCCGCCGGGAAGTAGCAGCCAATAGTGAAAGGACCAAGGCAGTGACATCTCCAGCCCACCCCCTGTTTGGGTATCAGCCAGTACGTCAACGGCTTAAATCAAGAAATAGTTTTCTAAGATCTACAGAGACACTCGCTGGAACACCCCAGCAAGCGAGAGTCCAAAAGTGGCAGGCTCAAACCCAGAACCTCAACCAATGGCTGATACCAAATGAGAGACTCCCTCCTGGGCATACAGAGGACTGGGCGACTTGGAAGGCGCTGAACAGACTGCGCTCTGGCCCCACGAGATGCAGAGCCAACCTCAAGAAATGGGGTCACAAAGTGGAATCCACGACATGCGAGCAAACCACTGACCACCTGCTGCAATGCAAACTGAGCCCTGCCACATCCACAAGGGAGGACCTTCCTGTGGCAACACCAGAGGCACTCCAAGTGGACAGATACTGGTCAAAGGACATTTAATCAACTACCAAACTCGCAAATTTTGTATTTTGTCTGTTTGTTTGTTTGTTTTGTTCTGTTAGAAATGTAATACAATTGACTGGTTGCCCTGACACGACAAATAAAAATAAACTGGTCCAATGACAGATCTATCTCCCCCAACAACAGCCCCCATCCATCATGAGGAAGACCTTCCTAAAGGAATACACTGTCTGGGAGTTTGGTGGAAAATTCCTACTCAATAAGTTTTTTTCAAGAGAGAATGATGGCTATCTGTTGGGAGAGCTTTGATTGTGCCTTCCTGCTTGGAAGAATGGGGCTAGACCGAATGACCATTGTAGGTCGCTTTCAACTATAGTGGAATACAGGCTGCTTGGGAGTCCAATGGGTGTCTCCTTCTCTGGAGGTTTTCCAACAGAGGCTGGATGACCATCTGTCAGGAGGGCTTAGGTGGTGCATCCCTGAATGGCAGAAGAGAGTTGGGCTGAATGGTCCTTGGGGTCTCTTTCAAGTCTATGGTCCTGGAGACCTACCTTACGGCGTTCCTCAGCTGCTTCCAGCTTCTTCTGGATCTCCTCCAGCGAGGGGTCCCTCCTTCGGGGCAGAGAGGCATTGAATTCGGGGATGCCGTCGAAGGAGGGGGGCTTCAGGATCACCTCAAAGGACTGCCCGGAGGTGCGCTTGTTGAGCTCAATCACCTCCATGTCGGAAATCACGCACCAGGTGAGGTCTACTGTGTCAACTAGGGAAAGGGAAAGTGGAGAGAGGCTGAGATATAATCAGATTTATCTCCAAAAATTCACAGGAGTGATTCCATGGAATTGAATCATGGCCATCGAGTGGGGTCAAACTGAGTTAGCTCTACAATGTAGGTGCACCCATAGTCCAGTGCTCAAACCATCATGCCATTCAGGCTGGATAGATAGATGAGATAGATAGAGAAAAAGAAAAAGAAAGAGAGGGAGATTCATAGAGATAGATAAGAGCATACATAGATAACAGAGAGAGAGAGAGAGAGAGAGAGAAGATATAGATAATGAGAGGTAGATAGGTTGATCATAAAGATAGATGAATAGGTAGATAGATAGATCAGAGACAGAGATGATGGATGGATGGATATAGATGAATAGATAGAGATAGGTAGCTAGATCAGAGATAGAGATGATGGATTATTGATAAATAGACTGATAAATAGACAGATGATGAAGATAGATAGATCCAAAGCAAATCTGAAGTTGACCAAAAACCGATTTGTAACCCTTTTGGTACTAATGTTGGAGAGTGGTCTCTGGTCAAAGTGGTCCCTGGTCAAAAAAAGGTTGGTGACCACTGATAGAGATAGGTGGACAGGTAGATAGATCAGAGATAGAGATGATGGATGGATGGATGGATGGATGGATGGATGGATGGATAGATAGATAGATAGATAGATAGATAGATAGATAGATGATAGATAGATGATAGATAGATAGATAGATGATAGATAGATAGATGATAGATAGATAGATAGATAGATAGATAGATAGATAGATAGATAGATGATAGATAGATGATAGATAGATATGATTCACACACAGATAGATAGATGGATAGATAGATAAAAATAGATAGATAGATAGATAGATAGATAGATAGATAGATAGATAGATAGAGATAGATAGATAGATAGATATAGATAGATAGATAGATAGATAGATAGATAGATAGATAGATAGATAGATAGAGAGAGAATCCTAGAGCTGGAAGAGACCCCAAAGGTCATCCAGATAGATAGATAGAGAAAGGTAGATGGATAAGAGAGAGATGGAAGGATGGATGGATGAATAGATAGATAGATAGATAGATAGATAGATAGATAGATAGATAGATAGATAGATAGATAGATGATAGATAAGTAGATAGGTAGATAGAGATAGGTAGATAGATTAGAGATAGAGATGGTGGATAGATGACTGATAAATAGACAAGATAGGTGATGAAGATAGATGATAGATTGATACATAGATGCTAGAGATCGGTGGCTAGGTGGATCAGAGATAAAGGTGATGTATGGAAGGGTAGATATATAGATGAATAGATAGCTAGAGGTAAATAGGTAGATAGATCAGAATCAGATGATGGATTGATGGATGGGTGGATAGATAGACAGATAGAGATAGGTGGAAAGGTAGATCAGACAGAGATGATGGATGGATGGATGGATGGATGGAAGGATGGGTGAATGGATAGATAGATGATAGATCAGAGCGTGAGAGAGATAGAGTTCATAAAGAGATAGATAATAGAGATGAAAGATCAGAGATATAGGCAGATGTTAAATAACATATTGGAAACATAGATGATGGCTGGGTAATTGCATCCCTAAGTCCATGAGAAAAGACAAAATCCTACAAGAGGGATTTTTCATAATTTCCTGAAATTGCTTTCAGGTAGAATTGCTGCATTCTAGAAACATCTTAATATCACCCAATGGGTGTGCTTACCTTCATATTTATAGGATGGTTTGTTTAAGGGGTCGGAGAGGAAGCAGGAGCAGAAGAGGGACACGAGGGGGAGCTCTTTCATTTTCTCTTTGTAGGCTGCCAAGGGGGAAGAAAGAGTGCCATGAAAATATTGAAAACGCATCCCACCAACACAAGAGATCCATTATTAATGGCCTTCAGGGTACACGATATACACGGTGTATGTGAAACGTAAATGGATTTTGTGTTTAGACTTGAGTCCCGTTGTCTAGATGTCTCAATATGTATATGCAAATATTCCGAAATCCTAAATCCAAACACTTTCTGGCTCCAACAATTTCAGATCAGGGATTTAGGTCATGTTCTTGCCTTGGGAGCTCTGCTGGGAGAAAGATGTGATTAATTAATCAACTAACTGATCAATCAATTAATCAATTAATTGGTTAATTAACCTCCACCTGGTAATGCTTGCTATAGTGCTCCTAAACTTAGAGGCTCCATAGAAACATGTGCAGGATTGGATTTAGGTCACTGGTGGGAATCCTGCAACCCTCCAGGTGTCATTGGATTACAAGTCCCAGCAGTCTTCACCATCAAAGCCATGGATCCCTGTAATTGATTACTTCATAGGGTGACCAAAGTCCAAATGCAATATTTGGATCTGGTCATTCCTGACTGAGGAATTCAAAGACTTGCAGGGAAAGGAGACAGAAAAATGATCAGAGAACAACCTGAGGATTCTGGGTGTTGCAATCCCTCAAAAGAGGTGCTTTCCAAACCATTGGTATCAGGTTTGCCTACCTGCCAGCGTCATGATGCCTTCGATTCTGGGATGGGCTCCAAGTGGGTGAAGAGGGTGTCGAGACGGAAATTGCTCACTTGCAAACTGTACAGAGAAAAACAAAGGAAGAGGATGCCTTTGAATTAGGTTAAGAGTTTGCAAGACTACAAGACCAATGGACCCCACTAACCCCTTTTGCGGCACAAATGGTGCAAGAGTATGGATTTAATAAATTGATAGCCAGTGCTCTACACTGGGGCTTTGGGGCTGCTGTTATCAGGTGCATCTACACCAGGTATGGGCAAACTCAGGCTGGGGCAGCCAGTCCTCCTAGCAGGAAGTGTTAGCATGTGACCTCCAAGTCAGAAAGTTTGCCCATGCCTGATCGACACTGTAGAACGAATGCAGTTTGATACCACTTTAGCTGCCACTGCTCAATGCTATGGAATCCCAAGAGTCATAGTTTTCCAAGGCCTTTAGTCTTTTATGTCAAAGAAGGCAGGTGCCTCACCAAACTACAATTCCCAGGGCTCAGAGGCGGCCCTAGGTAATTTTCAACGGTAATCAAACAGTATTTTGGCGCCCCCCCCCCCCAACCAATCATTGATATATATTTTCTGTTTCTTGTGGGAGTTCTGTGTGCCATATTTGGTTCAATTCCATCATTGGTGGAGTTCAGAATGCTCTTTGATTGTAGGTGAACTATACATCCCAGTAACTACACTTGCCGCACTTGCTCCCTTGCCTGGCCCGCTTTGGGTCCGGAGGCGTGCCTGAAGACCCCGCGTGTGCACAAAAGTCACCTCTTCTCCTGACTTTCTCCTCAGCCATTGGGACCAAGAGAGAGAGAGAGAGAGAGTGGTGGAGATGCCCACCTTTCCTGAAGGTAGGTGCAAAAACAAAGGAGGGAGCAGAGGTGGGAGATACCTCCAGCCGGAGGGTCTCTCTCTCTCTCTGGTCCCAATGGCTGAAGAGAAAGTCAGGAGAAGAGGTGACTTTTGGTGCGCACGCTGGGGTCTTCAGACACGCCTCCGCCCTTGGCCCACCCGGGGATTGGGGAGAGGAGAGGAGGCGGGTGGAGCGCCGGGGATCGGGAAAGGGAGCCGGTCATGGGGAAGGGATCGAACGTGGAGAACGATTGAGCGCCGGCTCTGCTCGCGCACCCGGTGGCCGGGTGGAGCAGGAACGAGAGGGGCTAGGCGAGGCTCAAGGGCCCGGCCCCTTTGGGAAGAGGATCGCCCGGCAGCGAGGCAAGAAAGCCGAGGCTCCCCCCGGACTGCTAGGGCTGTTGTGAGCTGAGGGGGCGCTCCTCAAGTGGTGGTCGAGGGGCATTTACAGAGGCGCCTCTGCGCCCCTGGCAAAAAAAAAGTGTTCTGCGACCGCTTACTTCGCGTAATGGACGAGCTGCCCCTGCCAGGGCTCCATACCATTAAACTGTGGCAATTAAAGTGGTGTCGAACTGCATTCATTCTACAGTGCAGAAGAACTCTGGATTGTACTATACCTCTAGACATGAGGAGAGGCAAGTGATAAATTATGATGATGATGATGATTATTATTATTATTATGCAATAGTAGTTAAAGTGCTGTCAAACTGCATTCATTCCATAGTGGAGATACTGCCTGATAGAGAAATGGGCGTGCTCCAAGGGCCAGGAGATAATCTTTTTCTGTTTTTCTCTCCTTCTTTCTTTCCTTCCTTCCTTCCTTCCTTCCTTCCTTCCTTCCTTCCTTCCTCTCTCTCTCTCTCTCTTTCATCTATCTTTTCTTTTCTTTCACCCGCTTTTTACATGCACTACTAAGGCAGCCGGCAACACAAAGTAATTGTGAGGAGTGCTGCTTTTTGCATCTCTCTCTCTCTCCACCCAAAGATGGAGACTGGCACGTGGGAAGAATGGTGTCTCCCCTTCTAGCACATTTGTGCCAGGTGTGCAAGGAGTGTGCAAGCCGCTTTGAGTCTCGTTTAAGAATAAAATGAACAAAAACGTGAAAAGGACCGAAGCCATCGATGTGCATGAATAAATAAAGAGGGTTTCCCACATGGCATGGCTGCAAAGCGCATGGTTCCCCTCCCTCTCTGTCTCCTTTGGACTGCATGAGCTCATCCTATATTATTCAAAGCTGTGGGATTTTTTCCCCTCCTCCTCCTTCTCCTCCTTTTCTCCCTCCCTTCTTTATTTATGAAGCCCCAAAGCATCCCCGCTGCCTTGCTTCCCATCCGCAGCCCTTTCTTCCTCTCCTAAATCTTCCTAAGTTTGCATTTTCTCTTATTATAGGGAGATTGTTTCCATAGGGATTGACACCCTATGGATAAGAAATGGGCAGGAAGGTGGGATGGGGAGATAAAGGGAAATCTATTAAGGCTGAGCAAAGGGAAAGAGTCCATGGAGCCATAAACAAAGGAAGGATGGTGTGACATCGTGGGCACATCTGGGATCCCAAGGAGGGGCAGAATCATAAAATCATAATTGGAAGGGAACCCCAAAGGCCATCCAGTCCAACCCCTTGCTGTAGGCTGAAGAAAGGGGAAGAGTTTATGGAGCCATAAACAAAGGAACGTTCACATTGCTGGCACATCTGGGATCCCAAGAAGGGGCACAGTCATAGAATTGGAAGGGGACCCCAAAGGCCATCCAGTCCAACCCCTTGCTGTAGGCTGAGCAAATGGGAAGAGTTTATGGAGCCATAAACAAAGGAGCGTTCACATTGCTGGCACATCTGGGATCCCAAGGAAAGGCACTGTCATAGAGTTGGAAGGGAACCCCAAAGGCCATCCAGTCCAACCCCTTGCTATAGGCTGAGCACATGGGAAGAGTATATGGAGCCATAAACAAAGGAATGGCCACGTTGCCAGCACATCTGGGATCCCAAGAAGGGGCACAGTCATAGAATTGGAAGGGAACCCCAAAGGCCATCCAGGCCAACCCCTTGCTATAGGCTGAGCAAATGGGAAGAGTCTATGGAGCCATAAACAAAGGAATGTTCACATTGCTGGCACATCTGGGATCCCAAGGAGGGGCACAATTGGAGTCATAGAATGGGAAGGGAACCCCAAAGGCCATCCAGTCCAACCCCTTGCCATAGGCTTAGCCATAAACAAAGGAACATTTACATCGACAGCACATCTGGAATCCCAAGGAAGGGCGCTGTCATAAAGGTGGAAGGGAACCCTAAAGGCCATCCAATCCAACCCCTTGGCATAAGTGTGATTTTGGAAATTATAGCCTTGCTCAAATCATAAGCATTTTGGAGAGGTAGGAGGGGAGAAAGAGAAAGGAGAAATGTCAGGTATGGACGAATTGAAAGGCCACAATAGAGTTGGCAAGACTGCCTCTGAACATGTTCAGAGTACCACGAATCCCTCACTATTGAAGAGCACAGCAACATCCAAAACATAAGAGCTTTGTGGATAAAAACCAAACTGCCAAGGGTGCATGAACACCAGTGTTTCCAAAACATTGACCTTTGAGTTGCTTTTGGACTTCAACTCCCAGAAGTCCCTTGCCTAATGGCCAAGAATTCTGAGATGTGAAGTCTCAAACAGCTTGAAGGACCAAAGTTTGGAAACCATTGCTCATTCTATACCAGGTATGAGCAAACTTGGGCTGTCCAGGTGTTTTGGACTTCAACTCCCACCATTCCTAACAGCCTCAGGCCCTTTCCTTTCCCCCCTCAGCCGCTTAAGCGGCTGAGGGGGGAAAGGAAGGGGCCTGAGGTTGTTAGGAATGGTGGGAGTTGAAGTCCAAAACATCTGGAGGGTCCACGTTTGCCCTTGCTTCTATACTGTAGAATGAATGCTATTTGGAGCACTTTGAGCTACCATGGCTCAATGCGATGGAATCCTGGGAGTCACAGTTTCACAAGGCCTTAAACCTTCCCCTGCCAAAGAGGGCAGGTGCTTCGCCAAACTACAACTCCCAGGATTCGATAGTATTGAGCCAGAGTGGTTAAAGTGGCTTTGAACTCCATACATTCCCCAATGCAGATCCATCCAAAGTTTAGTCATGGAGGTCTTTGGCCATCACCAAATTCAGAATGTTTTCGATCCTTGTTTTCATGCACAATGTACATCCAGTGCTCCATTTCCACGGATTCTGCATCCATGGCTTCAAACTATTGATTTTGCCATTTTATATAATGGATGGTATTTTATTTTACTATTACTATGACTTATGGCGAACCGCAAAGCAACCCTGCCACAGGGTTTCTACAAAGGCCTCAATATTGGTTAATATTGGATGCTAAGCAGGGTCAGCCCTGGTCAGCCTTTGGATGGGAGACCGCCAGGTGCTGTAGGTAATATTTCAGAGGAAAGAAAACCCTATGGGGCTCACCATAAGTCAAGTGGCAACTTTCTCTCAAAAGCTTCAGGTTAGAACTTCCATATTTGGGGAAAGGGAGCTTTTTTTGGACTGGGTTGTTGTACGTTTTTCGGAGTGCACGGCCATGTTCCAGAAGAATTTCTGGACTGTCAGTCCCAGCATCCCCAGGACTCCCATTGACTCCCATGAACCATAGGCTCTAATTTGGAAGAAGGAACTAGCAAAAAGAAAACCCTATACAATCCATGGGGTTGCCATGAGTCTATAGGCAGCTTGGAAGCATACTCACTCCCACAAAGTCAGTCTCAGAATCATCTGTGCACACAGGTACAGAAATCTTCCAGCTCTTATTGTCAGCTGGGAAGTTTCTAGGACACAGTCAGTTCCTGGGAGTTATGTAACCACTGAGTAGGAAGGTTTTTTTGGGGATTTTGACAATGCAATGAATCTTTCCATGTCTCAGTGCTATTGAATCCTGGGAGTTGTATTTTTACAAGATATTGAGCCTTCTCTGCCAAAGAGTGTTGGTGCCTCACCAAACTCCAGCTCCCAAGGCTCCCTAGCCTTGAGCCAGGGCAGTTCAAGGGGGAGGGGGTCAAACTGGATTCTTTCCACAATGTTGATGCATCCTTAAATATGGTTACTTACCTTGTGCAACAGATTAATTGAACTGTATTGTATGAGTCTACACTGACCACATAATGCAGTTTGAAACTGCATTATAGAGCAGTGAAGAAGAGGAGGAAGAGGAGGAGGAGGAGGAAGAGGAGTTTGAATCTGAAT